ATATTAACTGTTGTACCCCCGTTAATATTTGCATATAAAAGTCAAGGTAATGTTGTAGCTCCAAGAAACGGTATTGCTAGGGTTAGATACCTGACCGAGGCTGACGTGACGACGTTAGTCGTATTGACGTATAGGTATCGGTGACGTATCGGTATATTGACGTATGACGGTTATCTTACGTCGGTTATCGTTTATCGGTTATCGGTTATCGGTTATCGGTATGATCGGTTATCCGTATACGTCACCGTCATATCGGTGACGTATGACGTATCGGTGTATTGACGTTAGTCACACAGCCTGGTCGGGTTAGGTAATGTTGTAGTTGCGTTTGCTCTGCGTGCTAGATTGTGCAAGTTCAAGTCAACTGCTGGAGTGTGCACTGTGCAACAGTAGGCTAGGGCCTAGTAGAAATTGAACTACTAGAACAACTACTGAACTAGGCCTATTGAACTAGTCTACGTCTACGAATTTAAATAAGATGCTTTATTTCTTTTGAGTAATTGTTTACAGTTAACTCTCCGATGTCTTTTGAATCTCATTAGCGTTTTCTGTTGATTGTAGTGAATGTGTAAACAGTACTAAACACAATACTACTATTATTAGTATTACAGTATTACTATTAGTTATTACTATTACTATTAGTATTACTAATACTAAGTCTAATGACTTGAGACTGAGTTTTGTGAGGTAATTTGGATGAGGATGCACTCATGAGTCATGGTATTGGTAGGCCTTCTGTTTACTGGAAGTGCTGATAAGGAAAATATTCTCAACTCACAGTTTGAGTCAGTCTTCTCACCCAAGATAACGCTTACCAGGGATCAGTTCAAACGCTGCTGCCCTATGAAAGGCTATATTACTCTGCAGCTGATGATATTAAGTTTACAACACCAGGTGTGGAAAAGCTGCTACAGGGCCTCAAGCATGGTAAGGCTCCAGGACCTGACAATATGCGTCTTCGTGTACTGAAGGAATTATCGAAAGAAATTGCGCCAATCCTGACTATGATTTTTCAAGCCTCCTACAACTTGGGTGAAGTCCCGCAAGACTGGCGAAATGCAAATGTCGCACCAATTTTTTAAAAAGGTCAGAGGTACCTGGCTGAAAACTATCGACCAGTGTCACTGACGTGCATCAGCTGCAAAGTCATGGAGCACATTGTGACATCTCACATCATGTCTCATGCAGATAGGCTATGAGCCAGACCCCCCCAAATTGACCGGTCGGTACCATACAGATGGAGTAAGGCTCATTGTAATTTTTAGCA